TCCTTTAGGTCAAGTTGTGATTCAGAATGAATGCACCACAGATGCCATCAGAGCTTGTGAACTTTCACTGACTTACATATTTCCAGCCCAGCGTAGTGTGACAGTTTTCACAGTAGATGTCGGCCACAGCGTGAAGTCCTGTGAGCAGCAATCTCTCCTCTGCAGGACCACAGCCAACATTCACCCTAAAAACACAAAAACAAAACGCAGCGTCCTCAAAGAGAAGCTGATCAATGGAACATGAAGAACTTTAATGACATAAACAATACTTGTTATATCATTAAATGCACAGCACAAGAACAACTTTTTTATTATGTCCTAGGATCTGATTTGAATGAAAAGCTAATGAACGTGCAAAAAGATCAAACAGATGCTGATGTCAGATTAGGAGCTACTGTTTAATCAGCTCACTTCCTTGAGTTCACTCCTGACCCACTAACCCAGGAGGAGTGTGACTTGAGTGAAACAAACTGACTTCAAGGTTTAATTTGGAAAAAATCTAATGAGTCGTTGACACCATGATTTGTGTAAACACATCTAATTCTAGGAACCAGTTTTTCAAGAGAACACCAAAATGTGCTGGGAAAACATACCATAGATTTACTGAACTGGTTCGTGGCATTGTTTGAGGGAAGTGTGCTTTTAAAACTCACAAATAGCTACATTTGTTGCGCAAATACCTAAAATACTCACACAGAGTTGAAGAGGTAGGCTCGTCCTTGACTGCCTTGGAAAGACTAGGAGACAAAAGATCAAACATGAAATCAGGAGGAAACAAACACAGCATGTGTGTCAGAACGTGAAATCCATTTAAAAATGATTTCTGCTTCTAATTAACTGTCAAGTGGTTAACATGCCACCTAAAAATGATGATACTCAAAAAAACAAAAGCCCTGCAGCGCATTTACCTTGGAGATGAGATCGTCGTGGTTTGCCAGATGGGCGCGGCAGTGCACGCAGCTGTAACGGCGGTGGCAGGAATCCAGGTAGGCCTGGAAAGTCTTAGCCTTGGTTAGCTTCACCATGTCTGAGGGGAAAGTAGATTTATTATTATTATTATTGTATGAAATATCCCAGATCAAATTCTTGGCTTTCATCTAGTTAAGCAAATTAGACAAGTTAAAAACTACTAAAGTAGTCTTGTTATCTAGGAAGTCTAGGCATTTAAACAGGTTACAAGCTTGACTGCAGCTGCCTTTAATGTGCAACTTCATAAATCTAAAACAGCTGTCAGRGCTGAAAATAGCTTTTGTTATTACTGGATGGCCATAAAAAAGATCCAAGATTTCATAATCAGTGTGAAGTTTTACCCACACAGAGTCAGGAGTTGTTTGTGTAGCATGATGAGGAAATGCACCTTGCTGCTGACTTCATATATGAGGTCAAAACAAAACAAAAACTCTGGACTTTTTAAAACGCAAAACAAATATAAATCACTGCATGTCATTATCCCTGTTCAGTTATGTATTTGTTAGTAGTGACATTGTGGAGAAACAAATAACCTGCACAATTTTAAGCATTTTCTTGTATTTGTTTTATGTTGTAAGTGAAAGAGCAGGAACTCAGTTCACTAGCTTGCTTCCTGCTTTAGAACTATTTATTTTATAACAAATATCCCAGTTTTACACATGCAGTACTGTTTGTGCTCCGTTCAGATCTAGAAAAACAGACTAAGTTGCTTACTTATTGATCCAACACCAGCTGATAACTCTGTTAGCAACAAAACAGTTAGCATGCTAGCTTCGAACGGTCAAAGCAGCTGATCAAATTAGCACTTCGGTGGGTTTCCTCTCGTTTCCTCTTACCTGACAACACCGAAGCTCTTTTGAGTTTATGAATCGTGTCAGAACGAGTGATAAGCGATAACTAGTTGATTAAAAAACGCAGGCAGGACGCTTTGTTCAGCCTTCAGATCGGTGCAACAACAGCTCACCACGCGCTGATGGTTCGGACAAAAAAGGTTAAAAAAAACACTGTCGAACACCTCGTTTCTGTTGGCCCGTTTTGCTGAGTTTCCAAAAACTGTTTTTTTCCCCCCCCAGTTTATCCACGGCCTTCGCTAGGACACAACAAACCTGGCAGGGTGACAGCGAGAGAGCAAAACGTTTCCCTGGCGGGAGAGAAATTGTTTTGTTTATGAAAACACACACAGATGGCGGAAGTGTGAAGAGTGCAAAACAAACCCTACTAACCAATCAGAGCTCGCGTTCAGAATATGGGTCAACCAATCAGATTCGAGCTCTCATGAACCTTTTATGGCTATCCTTCTTGGTCCAGTTTTAGGGAAATAAGTGAAAGGGTTTCCATTTTCTCACTTGTTGCTTTAGAATAAAAGTCAAAATGAAAATATTGACCAAATGCAACAAGAGACACTTGTCCAAATTTAGAAAATGTCCATCTTTTTCCAGGAAGGATGTTTAAAGGAGATGCTGGTTGTGGCTTCTTGGTTAGTTTGCATTTTGTTAGTTTACATTCCTCAGCACTTTTGTACTCCTACAGAAAATCATCCAAATAATTTCATACCCAATGTACATTGTTATGAATTACCTGTTATACTTTGTGTTTTTGACAAGTGGGGATATGCTTATCTGTAGTTTTATGACCTTATTTGCATTTAATTAAATCAAAACAATTTTATTTGCAATTCTTATTGCTGTGTTCGGTCTGAAAAAATACCTAAATATCTAAGATCCGTGATCAAAAATACGGATTGTTTTCAAGTGGTAAGCTTGTGTCAAATATAAGTATAAATTATAATATATATGACTCAGCAAATCAAAAATTTAATAAATTATACATAATTTGTTTCAGTCTTCCCTGTACTAAGATAGGGAATAGTAATTGTGTTCACTACAATTGTAAATCCAGTTATTTTCAACATCCACATATTCCTATAAATATTAAAAACCACTTATTTACGGAGTCATACATTCAAGTTTTTGCTTTCATTATTTTATCATAGCTTTACGTCTCGTTTTCCTCAGCACACTCGACACAGCAGCCAACCAGGTCAGAAAAATAGAGTCTTTGTTTCTCCAACAGACTGGTCAATTATTATCACAGCGGCGTGGCCGGACTTTGACCAGAGCTGCCTGGGAAAAACAAGGGCGCAGGTGAGGTTCACTGCACATGTAAACCCTCATCAGTTAGGAAGACTAAAACAGGACAAATTCTCATTTTATATATATATATATATAGATATGTATATATATGTGTGTGAATATGTGTTTATACAGTAGCATTCTTTATGTTTCCAGTAACAGAAACTAACAGAGTCGGTCAAAACAAAGTTTATTTAGTCTCTTATCGATTGCCAGATGATAGGGTCCAACTGGTTACATATTCACTCCTGGAAACATTTTGCAAACAAAAGCAATCAACAGATTCTTCAAGTGCTGCTCTAATTAAAGCCAGTCAGCGGAGGTGATCAAAGTGTAGGTCGCACTGTAAACAAGTGATCGTGTCAGCAATRATTAAAGCTTTCTTCACAGTAAAGAGCTGAATGAAAGCATTGTTCTCTGCTGTTCAGACACAACGCTCAACTAATCTCATCAAGGTTTAAATGATGATTTAAACACCCTCTATCAATGTCTTTAAATGGTCTATGGTGGTTGTGCAATGCCTTTTCACAGTAATTCAGGCTTTGAGATTAATCCTGTCTTCTGTTTCTGCAGAAGTAGCTGGTGAGAAGCGATGGATAGTCCGTCATCACTCCTGTGGCTCCCAGTTCTAACGCTGCTTTTATGTCTTCATCTTCGTTGCAAACAAATAAATGCACCTACAATTACAGATAATACAACGTGTTGAGACATTACACTCATGTTTTATTGGTGGATTTTGCTAACAGAGTATCATTTTTATTAAAATATGTGACCCATCATATCGAAATGAGGATTAAGTCAAATTTGGTCAAAATGACCTAATTACATTTTCAGATTCTTGGCTTTAAAAGCTACATTTTGATACCTGGATCATTCTAATATAATTAAATCCATATATATGACTCAATTTGTCTTGTTGGTTACAATAATACATAAATATTTGGTCTGAATCCTAATTTTATGTCATTTTAATGAGGAATTTTTTGATGTCCTTACAAAGAGGAAACCTCAAATTTTTTTGAATATTGAGATTTCCCAGCTGAAAAGAAACAAAACTTTGTTAGCTCACAGGGAAAATCTCCAAATTTTAAGGCGTTTTTCCTCAAAATTAGTTTTTTTGTTGGCACTGCTAAAAAAAGCTTCAAATTTTAGTTTTATGATTATATTTCAGACAGTTCATTCAAATGATACATTGATAAGGCTTTTATTCATTGTATTTTGACAAAATGCAATTTTTGTTAACATTTTAGTCAAAACACGATATTTGCCTTTTTCTCCATTTACAACTTCTGGACTTAATCCTCGTTTCGATGTGATGGGTCACAAATACTAACATCTACAGTTCAGATGAATGACTTGTCTTTCATACAAACAGCTGCATGGGAAGCTATTGTTACATGAATCCTGTCATTTCTATTCTTTCTAAAGACAGCTTCATAGTTTTATTTTTATTACATTACAGTGAGTGCAGTCGTGGGAAACAAGGAAGGGCACTTTCTTTCAACTCTAGGATTTTATGTATCTGGGCATAAAAGAAACAGACCGGTCTTCATCAGGTTCTAATCCACTGTAAGTTCAAGTGGGAAAAAATACACGACAGAGTGCATCATGTTATTATATATTAAACAAAAAACTCTCTGTGAAATTCACAAACACCTCATAGCAGCTGACGAGCATGGTGGTGGAGGCTTGATGGTTTGGGCTCGTTTTGTCTACGAGTTGACCATCAAATCTGAGATCATCTGTCCTGAAGCTCGGACCAAACTGGGTCCTGATGCAACAGGACAATGATCCCAAACCTGGCAACAAATTCACAACAAGAACGTCTGAAAAGAAGAATCAAAGCGTTGCAACGATCCAGTCAAAGTCCAGACTTCTGACTGTAATGCTGTGACGGGATGTCTGCAAACTTCAATGAACCGAGGCCCAAATTCCTCCACAGCCACGTGAAGCTCTAAAGCGCTACAGAAAAGTTCGGTTGCTTTTCCATATTGCCTTTAAATTTGTCTAATAAACAAAATCATTTTTAGAACTTGGTAAAGACCAGGATTTTATTGTGTCCCGATACAAAATACCCTCGAATTCCAAGAGGCTGATCTTAATTTTTCATGTGACTGTAGAATATTTAAGAACTGTTTGTTTATACTTTTCTTGTTTATAGTATCGAACATTAACGTCATACCTGTATTCCACGAGCAGCGAGGTGTTTAAAAAGACTTTTCCTCATAGCGATTCTAAAAAGACAATCATTAGGGAAAAAAAATCACAGTGTTGGGTATCTGCTTCATTTCATCACAGGCTCTTCACTTTTATATGTGCTCACTTTGAGTAATTCTACTGGCTTTAGTGTAAATATATATTAGTGTACGTTTGCACCATTTTGTCAGTGATCCTTGTAAGTTACACAGTAGATTTACAAAATAACTCAACTTACTTTTGTAACAAAATTATGACCAGGTTGTTCTGAAGGAATCTCTCCGTAGGAATGTACCTCCTCCAGTTTGCAGAGATAAAAAGAGATAAATATTTCAAACAGCTGCAGTAAACGCAATCAAGTCAGAGCAGAGAAACTCCGTTCGACATTACATTGGTGTAACTTAGCAGAAAATACCTTTACGTGTAAATAACACACACTCTGTAATCCCACCTGTTGATGACTTGTGGCAGGTAAAACTGCAGTAAACTCTCTCCCAGTGGCACAAAGGGCAGCAGGCCGGTGTAGAAGAGGAGCAGCAGCAAAACGCCTCGAGCCATGGAGAAACTGTAGGGCATGGAGCTGTTCTACAAGAACACACAGAACCAGTCGATCGCTGGATGCCAACACCAGTACAATGACTAATGCAACTAACACGCTCAGTTTGAGCTCAATGTGTGTAAAACTGACAGCATTAGAGTCAGTTGTGTGCGCTCAGGCTGATCAGAGCAATGGCAGCCATCTTGAATCAGAATAACTCCAAACATTAATCAGTTGTAAATGTGCATGTGATAAGTGCTTCCCAAGAGTTTCATTAAAATCTACTTTGTGCTTTATGAGATATTTTGCTAACAGACACACGAAGAGACATAATTTATCGCTGGCTTGTTGGTGGATGTGCAGCAGGAAGCTGTAAAAAAGGTCAAACTGGTGGTTTTGTCTCCCTCTACTGGTCAACGTACGATTCTGCGGCACTCCTTCAAGATAGAGGACTGTACRGAGGCCCACACAGTGATGCCCTCTCTGTTGTAGCGTCTAACCAAGGCCGAAACCTGCATAATCAAAATAAACACATCATTGCTTCACAATTTTTATCATTAGATCTTTTTTGAGAGTTCACAATTATAGTACCTTTTCAATCAGCTCCAGGTTGTTTTCTTTAATCTCCACACTCACAGGCACCTCAGGAAACTTCCTGAAAACGTCCTCCAGCAGAGAAATCTTCCTGTCCATGCCACTGCTGTACCGACCTGAAGGCTCAGAGGTGTGAAAAGTAAGGAGACATCACACACAAGTTTGTTTTTTATCCTTAGTAGAACCACCCATTTAACTTTCATTCATCTCTGTAGCCTAAAGGCCGACGATTACCACCCCCTAGTCCTAAAGCTATCCTGAAAATGTTGTTCCACCATATTAGGACTGGGCTTTGGCCCAAAAAACTACTAGTCCTGACAAGTTAGGTGTTCATACCTGAAAAGGTAAGAAGAACCAGGTACACACACAGAGACCAACTCCTTCATTAAACATATTTTAGTCAATGATTGATCAACAAGAAAAATAAAAAAAGAAAATGTCCTGACCTGCATAAAATGTCACCTCCAGTTTCTCCTTATACAGAGGCAAATCCTAAAAAAAAAATTAAAATAAAAGTTTTATCACAATGATATTGATAAAATAAAGAAAATAATGTTCACTGTAGGATACTCCCAGCTGCTTCATTTATTGTTCTTGTTACATGTGTATAAAGAACAGGAGGAACATTGGAGGGATTGTTCTGTTTAAACTTCAAAGTTCTTCAGCTCAGAGCAGCTTTAACCACATCGTTCACAAAAGAAGCAGTTCCAGCTTCTTCCTTTTGATTGTTGGTTTCTTCACAAAAATACAAAATCGGTTCTTTGATAAACAGCTTTTTTTCTGTGTGTTTCCTGTAAACTCCTCTGCAGGATGTCCCACCTCCAGGTTGAGGGAGGAAATGGTGACGTCCCGTCCCGTCTGCCTCTCCAGGTTCTCGTCATGAGACACCACGACGTGTCCGTCCTTTGTCAGGTGACAGTCCATCTCTAGCATACATGTGCCCTGCTGCACAGCACTGAAGAGGAAGACAGTGACAATTAACATTCTTTATCTCCAGGGGCGGAGCCAGAGGGGCTGCCTGGGTGGCGCTTGCCATCCGTGGCACCTGATTGGCCACCCCAGGTGCCACTCCCAGTTAATTGACAAGTGGGGTGGGGTTTGCATTTGGCATTTCAAAGATGGGCATACAATGAGAAACACTTTTTGCTAGCTGAGGTATGTCATGGGGTTCCTTTTCAGTCATTTCACTCAGTACAACACACAGTTGTATATGGGACAGGCGTGCCCTCGCGCGCCTGGCTGAAGCCACCTCTAATCACGTCTTTAGACCGGTGACGTGGCGACGTTGAATGTCGGGTAACAGGCTCCGCCTTCACCCTATAAGTTCGGAGTCACCAGTGTCATTCCTCAGTTCTATCGCCCTTCACCTCGCGATAGTCACCTCTAAACCTGAGCTCACATAGCTGCTGCTAGTTAGCTCAGCTTCTAAGATTCTTAGGCTAGCTT